CCAACAGGAATCTTACTTAAGCAAGGCCTGCCTATGGGACAAGTGGTGCTTCCACTGCTGGTGCAGGTAGGTTGTGACCTGCCACGGTGGAAGCCCATCCGGCATGTTTCCGAAGTGAGCAGTCACTCTAAACATGTCTTCATCTCCTGGCAGCCCTCGGGCAGATGCCTTCCTGATTGCCAAATGGCATGGGGAACCTTAACATCAACATGATGACATTGAAAGCAGGTAAAACACACAGGGACGAGGAGAAAAACGTTTTTTGCACTTCAATTGCTCATATTATTTTGTTTCAAACACAGCCTTACACCTTAGTATTTATGCAATGCAAAAGAAGAGCATATTTTGTCATCTTGTACAGGGAAGAGAACTACTGGACCTATGCTGACTTACACAAGCTGAAAGGTGGCTCTTCCTCCCTCCAGCCACCCCTTTGACCTTGGACCGAGGGCCTCCTGTATGGAAGTGTTTCTCCAAAGTTATTCACTCCATGCTCTTTCACACACACACAAAAAGGCCCAGTGACTGTGAGAACTAAGCTGCACTCACCATGATACCACGAGTGATCTTTTTATACACTTCTACATTGTTTTGGCATGGGTAACATCCACCCTCTTACATTCTTTGTCAAGCCCCCACAAAGGAGCTATGCAGACCGCAGATGCTTCGCAGGACAGATGTGCTGACAGCCTTTCAGTCCAAGGTAAAGTCCATATGCTGACCTTCATGCGTGCACTCAGTGCACTGAAGCCAAGACTGTGCAAAACCCTCATGGATCAGGATCAACCCAACAAGCTGATCCATCTGTATCCTCACCTCCACACCCAGCTCCAGCAAAACTGCTAGGGTCGCACAGTGGCACTGATCTCTTGTGAGACTCCTCTTGTGAGACTCCCCTCTGCCAAGGGGAGAAAAGTAAAACACACAGCATAGTCCTTCATAGGGGCAAAATCCTGCAGGGACATCCACTGCTGGATCTGGGCCGTGCTGGTCTGGTCTTATGCAGCCCTTTTCAGTTGTGATGGTGCCTGCCCACCACGAATGCTCACCTCTGGGTCCTTACCACAGACGAACAGCATTTTCTTTGCAGCTTGGCAAATGAAGTCCCACTATGGCATATGGGTTGAACAGGTCTTTGTGCTGCTCTGCAGCCTTTCTTCCATCTAGGCAAGCACTAAGGATTGCACTACTTTACACAGGGGATTTCCTCATCACAGAACAAAATAAACTCACCTATGGAGTGCACTGATAAAGGTTTTCCATTTCACATTCAGCAGCTGAAAAACAACTTCCTTCACCAGAGAAGGGTTTGGGAAGGGTGTGCTTTTTTGTTTGGTTTGTTTATAGGGTGGTGCTTGGGTTTTTTGGGGGTTGGTTTTTGGGGTTGTTGTTCAGGGGTTTTTTGTTTGGATGAGGTTCTTTTAACAAGCAGTAGATTAATGACCATTTATTTCTGAAAACCAGTCTCTGGGTTGAATCCAACTTCCATCCAGTGCCTGTCAAGAGGATACAGATCTATAAGGCTGCATAGTCGTTCCAAATAAGACTAATGACTAATTTCAAGCACTTTATTCTCCAAGTAGGCTCAAGCAGCTATAGTTAAACCATAGTTAGTTCTAAAATTCTATTCATGAACCAAGCAATGCAAGGAATAAGCAGTATCTCGAGACATATTAAGCAGCATTAATTTTCTAGGCAAAATCATATTCCAGAACTGTTCTATCGCTCCTCTACTCTGACACCAACTTGAGGGAGAGTGGGAGAACCATCCTCTCCCTGCATACTGGGGTACGTGCACATTGCACAGCACTGCTATGCTGGAACCTGTATGGTTTAGATTTTAATGGAGTGTTGGTTTTAGAGCTGAATATATGGAAGCTCTTGATTTACAAGAAGAAGAATTATTATTGCAAACCTGACTACAGCTACAGTTGGTGTTCTTGGAAGATGAGGGTGCAAGTAACAAGAAGCTAACAAATTCGTGCCAGTATGTCAAGTTTAATTTGCTTTCCTTTTCCCCTCCCTTCTAAAGCTGGCTGAAATACAAGTTCCACTGTAAATGCAGTGACTAGCAAACATGGATGCCATCACAAATACAGCGCTGCCAAGAGGAAGTCCTCCGTTGACTAATAACAGTTTCCAATAGCAACTGCAAGATATTCCGGGCACTGAACTGAAGAGATTTAGGGATATAGTCTAAACAAGATGTGCTTTTTGCAGCTACAGAATATGAACTGTATAACATTTGGACAAAAGGATTTTAAGAAGTCACCAGTAACTTGAGAATAAAGGCAGAATCAGAAGGTTTGGTAGCTCTTCAATGACCTTTACTTCAACAGGTAATACTAACGTCTCCCTATCAAGCCTATTATCTACTTGTGGCTGCAAAAAATAAAGACACAAATCATTGCTACAGTTTGGCATTGAAAAGGTCTCAAGTTTTTGCTGTTGAATGAAACAATATAAAAACACAGCCTTTTATTTTGAAAAGAGACTGCTTGCTTGATACTATTATTTTTGTGTAGTATTTGTCACTCTCAGAGCACAATACAGAGCATAATCAAGTTCATTTGTCAACTACGTAACCCATTCTTTGAAAACCTATTTTTAATGCAAGACAGCGTCAGTAATATATTACAAAATCCATTACAAGAACTGAAAATTACTTTTATAAAGATCACATATCAAAGCTTAACTTCTGTACCCTTTGCTTGCTGAGAGTGCAGGGCATTTCATACAGCTACTTCTCCTGGAGACATAGGATTTTGGTTTTCATCTGAATATGAAAAATACTTTGAATTTCCATTGCTGTGATTCAGTAGTTCTATCAAAGACTGCCCATGTATTTTCATAGGACTGATTTATTTTACCTTTGAAGTAAATACAGATTTGTCAGAAACACTTGCTAGGTCAATTTTTAAGCTCTACTATGTGGAGATTATGACAAAATACAAGCAAAAATGAGAGCGCTGGATAGTAATTTCAAAAAGATGCTAAGCAGTAGTGAAAAGAAGAAGGTTCTAAGCAGCCAAATGAGGTGAAATTTGTCATCAGATCACTGAAAACAGGAAACAGAACAAACTTCAATACAGAGAAACTGATATACTACGTGCCCAAGTCTGACGTTGTAAGTTGCCTCTGAATAAAACATTATATCCAAGAGTTTCCAGCACACAGATGCCGGCTGCACAGGGACACTGACTGCACTGCTGGTTTTTAATACCTTGGAGGTAAAATGTTATGCCCCATTAAGTAATTTCAGTCTACAGTACAGCTTCCCACCATTCTTAATTTCATAAGGCAACCGAATTATATGAGACGTAGGTAAAACAAATAAAAAAAAGACTAATGAGCATTTACAACTCTAGGTGGCACACTCATACAGTAAAAGACTGTAAATCTGAACAGAAATACACAGGCTCACCCAGGGTATTTTTTTGGTTTTCATGATCTATCTGTAGATACTGTTCTGAGCCCGTTTGTGAATTAGTATTTAGAAGGATCTGCACTACCACCCCAAGTTAGAACTGGGTGATTTAATATAACACTATGCAGAATTCACAGTTTTATATTTCAACAGTACCAAATTAAGTTAATTTATGATTCTCATGGCATAGCATCCATCCTGCCACGCTATCATACTCCAACCTACTTCATAGATAATGGGAATGGGATCTTACATGTTTCTTAAAGGCATAGTCTCATGCAACAATCAGTTCAGTTACACAGGTTTTTAAGCTTTGAACTTACACAGAAAGTTTTTGTTGCTGCTTTGTTTTTAAGCAGGAGCTCAGCTTTGTTTTATTACATCAAGTTCTCATCATAAAAAGGCCATTTTAACATATAGCCTTTAACCTACCTGTCTACATAGAGTAGGCAGTGTAAGAATCAGCTGAGATGGTGGTAACAGTCATGAAAATGACATTGCAATACTTTTATTAGAGTTTGTCAAGGGTATGTTGCTGCTGTTGCAGTCTTACTGAGGCCATAACGAATGAAATGACAGCTGTGCAACTGAACCGCCACAGTGTACACCTGAACAACTTCCAGAGTGATGAGAACTCCAAAATGCATAAATTAATGTGTTTGACTAATTATCTGAGTAAATAACCAAGTACCTAAAGACAAATACAATACAGATTTACAGTGTGCTAGATGCTTCACGCTAATGGTGTAAAAACACTGTATCCTCAAGTAAGTACAAGAAGTTGAATGAGCTCTCTCATCCTCCCAGTGTAGTAACACCTGGTTACTGTGGAAAAGCTAACATACCGTAGCTTACACCACAGTGAAAGGGCACCCATACTGTAGGTACAAAAACTAGTACAGACCAGCATGCAGTCCTGCCTTCAGATGGTTTTGAAATTCATGATGTGGAACATATGTACAACAAAGGACACACAGAAGGAATAAAAAAATTGCATATGCATATACTGATTGGAGAACTACGTGGACATGGAAGCATTTGCCCACAAAGCCACAAAGAAGAATGTCTTTGGCCTGAAGCTAGTACAAGAGCACCTCAGAAGCAAAGTACACAAATAAGTCTTCTCCATTTCTTCAATAATGGATATCAACTCATTAATAAAACCATTAACATCAACTTTTTTTCTCTAATAAAATGTATTTATAATCACCCCTTTCTGCATGGTGAATATTTACCAGAAAATGTACATCTGTAGTATGCTTTCACTCTTAAATATGCAAATAAGATACACATTTCTAACATTTGTTATTCATCTACATATATAAATTCGTCATTTCCATTGGCAAGTCCAATAAATCACCTTCATTCTTGTAAATCATTTAACAAGTTTATTTCTACAAATTGTGGCTTAAAAGTAGGTACTATAGATACAAAAATCTGTAAAGACTGATGTGCAGCATGTGTCATTTCTTTATGTTATCTAAGTGGATAAGTTACTCATTTCAGTGGGCATTCATCACATTTCTCATAGCAGCAATAAATAGATATTTTACTTTCCATAGCACGTTAATCAATACAAAATTAGCATTAAACAGCACTAGAGTAATATAACCCCTAGGTCATTGCAGGCTGATCATGGAATTGGAAAATTTTACACTGGACCTCTGTGCCAACCTAAGACTGAGTAATCTGCAGGGTCTCCAACATGTCTTCCACTGCCTTCAAAGAGTATTTAGTTTCTTTCTTACTGCGACCTGCAAACTAAACAACAATAACAACAGATTGTTATTTGTCATATATCAGAAATTCTGTGCACAGATCCTGTGCAAATAACAGTTCTAAATTTTAAGTACCAAAAATTAGCTCTATGTATTAAAACTTATAAGCACAGCCTATTTATTGTTTCACTCAACGTCAGTATTTTTACAAGCTATAACACCCTTCCTCTAATAAATACTAGAAAATACAACAGAACTCCTTAATTTCACTCATTTGCTCTGAATTTGAATATTCTGCACTAATAAATATTCCACTTTGAAACTGAACATTTATCTGAAGTGAGATCTTCCATGTTTGCCTGGTAAAACTTGAACATAATTTTTACTTCAGCCTTGATTTTTTAATGTGTTCCGAATTACACATCATATATTACGTGTTCTTAATTTAAATAGTAGTAAGACTTGGACCTGCTATTGAAGCTAATTTATTTTCTAGTTTTGTCATAGCGAGACAGTGCTACTTACCAAAATCTCCTATAAAATAATCCAGTCATCACATAATTATATTTTATGGTTCTAAGTAACTGTGAGTAATGACCTTGTATTTGACTGTAACCTACTATTACAGCAGCAATTTCAGAAAGCATTTGAAATAAAGTCTGTCTTGATAACAAAGAAAAATACAGCTTAATAAATACTATTAATGGCTTTAGATTCCCTAAGACACATGCAGGCATGTTTGGGAAAGAAAGAGGCAAAAGGGTAGGAGATGCTGATCACCCCATACTGACCTCAAAAGGGTTTTTCTAACAGTACTGATAATTCCCATCACTCATCAGCCTTATCTAACACAGTGGATTTATTGACTACATTGGTCTTCGCCCAAAAGAAACTCTCAACCATTTTTAATACACCTGCATTAAAAAGTTTTGCATTTTGGGTTGGGAGGGGTGGTAAAGAAATTACAGAAGCAGTAACTATTAACTTGCTGCTAATAAAACAGCCTATTCTCTACCTAAATGTTAACATCTAAACACTCAATAAATTTTCAATTTAATGTTTTTTATTTGAAATACCACTGGTGTCTCACATAGTTAGTCCTTGATTTATAATGTGTCCCTTCTCTCTTGTAATTAACTTAATTTAGCAAACTCTTCATGACCTGTTAAGAAAGATTAAGTCATCAAACCCAGGTAATATCACACCAGCAACAAGCTGCAGGACCTGTTAACCTGCTTTTGACCCCCAGGCTACAACCTAACATTGGGATTCTCAATCAGTACCGAGTTCTTACAAAAGTAGTTTTGGCACAATAAATGAAAAGCTATTTCAAATTAAGTCATCAGAAAATGAAATGTTGGTTTTTGTGACGACACTTTATAGTTAAGAGACATATTAAACCCACTGTATTTTCGTATTTCGGGATGATGAAATGATGTGCTGTGTTTTGACTCTAACAGGATGTATAAACCCATTCTTCAGGTTGTTCAGTCTCCATAGTGACCTGCAGCCATCAACGTCAGAGGGAAATCAAACTCTTAAACACTCTCCCATGTAGGAGAAATTAACTTTTGCTTAGACCTGACTCAATACTCTTCTTGTTCGCTCTAAACAAGAATTTTCCCAAGCAGATACTTTCCTTTCAGAAAAACAAGAAAATGATAAAACAGAACTCAAAATCCTCAACTGAAAAATTGTTTCCAATTCAAAGCATTCAGAGATTTCAATACAAAGGACAGAAGCCGGAATATATTGTGGTCAAAAAGCACGCCTGGCAAAACAGAGAAAGCATGCAGAGGAGAGCTTCAAAATCAGAAGAATTTCATTTTACCTCTCTTCAGGGACACTGAAAGCAAAACTGACAGAAGACATTAGTTTAAAAAATGTTACTTGCTAATTTCAAGAGTGGTTGCCTTCCTGATACTGACATGTACTTTAAGCTGAACAAATAAAACCAAACTCTGCGTCATAACAAACAGGAGTATACTTGGAAATGTAATCACTTCAAATTTGCCCTGACGAACAATTATTTTGTCTATTCTGCCATTACACAGCAATTTGACTGATTGAGCCGGAATCCATTTCTTAAAATCATGATTTAATTTTCTGTTTCCCAAATGGTTTGTAACAAAATCACCTCTCTCTGACCATAAATAACATGTGGATTGCTAACACAGAAGAATTTAGCAATGTACCCAAGAAGCATGTATCTGGAAAATTACTACGAGTAGGATCACATTAAAGATTTTCGTGAGCATTAATCAAACTCGCTTGCCTCTGCTGAAACGCTTCTACCAGAGGACATGCTAAACCAATTACCTAATTGAAGAGCACTAGGTAGCCATATTTTGTTTCGATGTTAAAGTAACTATGACTCATGTCCTCAGCCAGAACAGAAACACGCTCTTCACAGGGTCTGCACAGAGAAGAATCCGGTTTCCCAGTGATAAGGCAAAACTGAGCTTATAATAATAATAAACTTAAAGTAACTCTTTAAATAACAAGTACTTCTCTAACATCTGAAATAAATGATTAATTTCTTTTCTGTTTTTTTCCCACCCAGTCAATTAAACTTAAGTGGCCCAGAGAACAATGACCTTTGTTTTAGCGCATGTGCCAGCAGCCACGAATTCCAGCTCCATAAGCAGCCCTCGCTACAAAACCTTTCTGTCTTCCTGCAAAAGTTTACATTTCTCCTAGATTAGGCACAGATGAGAAGTACTAATCAGCACCTATTTAACATCCAAGTAAGTGTATTAACCAGATGGAGCATCAAATATCTGTATTTTTCAGAAAATTATTTCATTCAACTGTCCTTTAGCACCATGTTTCCCGGTAAACAAACTGCTGCACAGTCTAAGCAACACTAGCAACAGTAAGGCATTCTCTCTCATACCCAAAGATTGTTTTCGTTAAATTACAATAAATGTAAAAAGTTCCTCTGATTTCATACAGAAATGTACAGCAAAAGCAAAAATCAAGTGCCAAAGCAAACTGCCTGAATGAGAAAATAAATTGAAAGAAGGGAACCAGTGAAAATATTTCAAGTAAATTGCACATAAACTTAAAATGCAACTATAGCCAGTGCTGAATTTGAAAATATAAATGCAGTTTTCCAAAATTACTGAGCAAACTGCTGGTAATTCAAGTTTAAATCCAGACTAAAAATGGGGAACAATCTCACTGCAGGCCAACTGCTTGCTTCTAACTTTCTGAATTAATAACTTCATATTTTCAAGGTCACAAATTCATATCATTTGTCTAGGCACCCAAGTCAGGATTCTAAATGCATCTTATTCTCTAGAACATGAATACTGGAAAAACTGCATTTAACATTAAGAAGGTCTAACTAATAAAACAAGTCAATGCCAAACTCAACAAGCTCTTAAGGCTCTTATTACACGTTAGAAAGTGCTTTGGATAACGTAAGGAAAGTGGGGAGGATTTGTAGAGATAATATTAAGTATCTGGCTTAAAACCTCGTTAGACAACCGTCCACTAATGGAGGAATGCTGTAAGGGTTTTGACTGGCACAAGCAACCAAGGCTTCATCCTTAGGTCCGAGAGATGACAATTTTCAACTGCTCAACACACTAAGGGAGCAATAAATCAATACTGACTCACAGGGGAAACTGCCTCCTACTACATCACCAAACACCATTTGCTGTAGCAGCTGGATGTGGTAAGTCTCTGACATAGACACTGGAGTGGCCAAACCCTTCTGCTGTCCTGTAACAAGCTCAGTAGGGCTGGGCTGGGGCAGTCCCATCCAGCTGTAGACACTAGAGCTTCTTGTGGTACTTCTCAGAAGAGGAAGGGGGTGTTCACAACACTTGCACACCAAATCCCAGCTTAAGCACTTACATCTTCTGTATAGCCAAATTCCCCCTGTGATTACAGTCAGATACGGTATTCACCACTTTATGTCCCAAGCAGCTAAAAAGAGCAGCTGAAGTACGCAACATATCACAAAAGTATGAAGTCACAAAGAAGTTATGACATATGTTTTAAATATACGTTAGTTGTGTTAACGTGAGCTGTTCTGGGAAGCATCAACCAAAAATGCTAAATGCAGGATCCAAAAGAGCTTCACAGAAACAGGGGAATTGCACTTTGCAGTAAAAAAAACCTCAACAAGACCAACCTCCCCAAACCCCCCCCCCAGCCAGAAGCCTTTCCCCCCACCAGTACACGTCATGTTTTGTTAGACATATTGTGATGTCAACAGGAAGCCATGCGGAGGGGAAAAGAAAGAAAACTAAAAAAAGGCAAGCTTATCTGTCTGTGAGTCAAGTAACTACAAACTGTCATAATTAAACTTTCATTACACTTAGAACCAGGAAATGCCTGTTTCTAGGTCTTAATCTTGGTATGCCACATTCCACAGTCAACACTGGTTCTACACTTCCATCCTGATGCATCCTTTGGGCTGTTTCCCAGAAGTGCTAGCAAATGTCTGCTGCTGGTAGAACTGGAACTGGAAACTTCAGTCATAATATTCACTTGTAGTATGTGTTCAGAACCACTCTAACAGTTCATTTTATTGAGATGTAAAGCATGGAATAATAGTTTTCACTCAAAATTCACACACACCTTTTAAAAACTGTTTTGTTCTATCAGTGGTGAATCCCTTGTCTGTTCTATTCTTTTACGGTTTGGTTTTTGTTTCTGTTTTGTTGTGTTTTTTACTTGAGTCAAAATGGAGTTTTCCATTACAGGAAATGTCAGACATACTGAAGTCAGAAGAAGTCCTGCATATTTATGGGACATCAGACAAAGTTGGTAATTCATACACACCTTACTGTCATGAGCAGGTAAATTAATGAAAAGCAGGGAATCATTTTAAAGAGAAAACCAGAGAAATAAACTTCAGGCACACAAGTATAAAATGCTTAATTACATCCCCAGGGATACAATATTCTTCACTATAAAGTACAGTCAGAAGCTACAGGGCCAATCAGGGGAAATGAAAAATACTTCAAAGTTGTAATACATCAAAACCACATCAGCCACAAGAAGCTGCACTCTTGGCAATGAACTGAAATACAGTGTATTAAGAATTAACTGCATTGGCCTTAAAAGAAAATCTAATTTAATTCCATAATTGATGGAGCTGGTCAAAAGGCCATTTGGTAGTATTAACTGTGAAATGGTAACAGCAATAGAAAAATTAAATATTGGGTTCTGATACTGAAGTATTACAGAAAGAAAGGAGTGTTACATGTATGTAAAGTCTTTGCATTTAGCAGCAACATTTTTGCTCAGAAAAAGTTATGGGGAGAACATGACAGTACGATGTTGATGCTCAGGATTACCTACATATGAACTTTGACTGGCAGGTCATTAGGAACAGTTGTAAAGGAGTCAAACAGACATACTATGTTGGGATGCATGGACATCAGAACCTATGAGCTAAAACGTGTTTTCATTCATAGTTACAGAAAAAATATAGAGATGTATAATGCAAAAGCAAATATAGTTAGTTACGCAGAACTTTGCAAATAGCTGAAAAGCCTCCCGCTGCCTTTGGTAAGCTGTGACTGTGGCCTACAAAGTCTGCATTTTCACAAATCAACGGGCATTTTTCTGTAAAACTATGCAAAACCAACTTCAGTCACAATCATTAAGGTAATTACTAGGAGAACCACTGACATGATTTTGAAAAGTCAGAATAAACTGAAGGAAATAAAATTCTAGAATTTTTATTTGTTTGCTAGTAAATGACCAAGTTACTCTAAGAATTAAGACACACCAAGTTTTATTAAAATACTCAGCTGTAGGACTGAGTCTTGGAGGTGAGCACTGCATTAGTGTACATTCAGTTAATGTTAGTAGAAATCTGGTTAAAGCTAGTAAGTAAATAATGCTAATCAATAACAGTAAAATATCAACCTTATATTCATTAAGGCTTCCAGGAAATCAAAACAGAAGTAGAACGTGAAAAATCCAAGCAAATTACCCTGATTTATGTATGTCGTATCTAACCTTTTGAGCAGCAGCTAATAAAAGTGCAGAAAAGAACTAAAGGACATGATAAGAGTAAAAACAATGATGTACTAACCTGGTATGCTCTATTTATTTGGTTGGCTGCCCAGCTGGCATATTTCATATTATCTTTTTTCATTTTTGCACTTGCTTTTGGATTGGAGGCAATATGGCTGGCAGACTAGGAATACAAAAATAAAACCAGTGTAACTATGGAATAGATGTGCATGAAATAAACCAAGAGCATTCAGCACCTTTGCATTCAGAGCCCCACATGGAGCAACAGTGGAAAAAAAAGGTTAAAAAAACCCCTGTTAGTGGCAAACAGCTTCCAAATGAGAGTAAGCTTAAACTTTTTAAACAATTGTTTGTCCTAATTAAAGCTAAAATAGACTTCAGTTCAGTTCAGTTGTGTACCAAGTTAGGAATCAAACCTGACATAATCAGCTAGTCATATTTGCTTTTCCTAAAGTAAGAGTTACGAATTAGTTTTCGCCATTCAATTTGTTACCAGAGATATAACACCTCTGTGTCCAAATTGCCATTAAAACCATGACATCTTTTCCTATGGCATCAGAAAAGCCATACATGAACTATGTGCATCTTCACCCCAAAAAAATAATAAAAGATTCCTTAACAACCAAATTAATCTCAGAGATTTCAATTTATATAAATAAAACCACTCTGCAAGGAATCATTGCTAATCCTTCCCACTACACCTCTCTGAGTGCAAAAGTACTTGAATGCAAAGAACGACAGAACCCTCTTCTTATGCACCGAAGAAGAATCTCCAGATTCTTCTGTTTTAAAAAGGAGCATGGAAGCAAATAGCTACATGAATAATACAGTTCAAACACAAAGAATGTTGCCTCACAGCTATTTCCCTGAAACTACCTGCAGAAATAGAAAAGGAGCAAGACTGCCCGAGAAGCAGCCTCCACAAACTCGGGAATGCATTCTCTGAAGTCATGCCCACATGGATTGAATTTGTGATGTAGTACAAGGTCAGGGACCAAAGATGGGGCATAATTCCCTCTGGTTTCCTGAATCTGATGACGTACTGACTGGTTTCCTTGGCATATATAGCTGAAAGCCTTTGTGGAGCATTTACCAGGGTTATGGACATTCTTTGGGGGACTACAAACATTGGGCATGTCTGTCAAGTACAAAAGCAGGAGCCACTCCAAAACCATATCCTAAAGCCTGGAAACAGCATTACAAAGAAATAAGGAGACAAAGGGTAGATTTAAAAGGCTGGTTAAAAATTAAAAATAAAAAAAAGCAGCCATCACACTGTCCTGGTACTCTTCAGCAGCTCACCATCCTGTGGAACAGAGTACGGCTTTAAATCCTTATTCATGAAGTTACCTTCATGTGCCAATAATTATAATTCTTTGGAAAACACAGGCAAGACTTAAAGGTTAAGAGCACTTCAAGTAAGGAGTACTTACAGGCATAAGACTGTCCTGTCAGTATTGAAAAACAGTGTTCATAATCTGTTAAACCAACAGCAAAAAAAAAAAAACCCAAACAAGCCAAAATAATAAAGGATAATATACATGCATAAAAACATGTAACATAAAAATGACAACTTGGAAAATACATAATTGTGCTTACCATGTAAAGTCCAAACAAAGCTCTCATATTTCTGTTGTTAAGCTTCAGTGCTTGCGCGAAATACTTTCTTGATAGCTCGAGGTTTTCAAGCCCCCCTTGAGTGTATTTAACCTGTAAAAATTATAAGCTCCTGAAACTTGCACGTCATCCGTACCTCAGGCATTCACTCTTGAAGCAAAGATATTATGAAACTTCACTTCAGGTTTGTTTCACATGATATTTCAAATCAGGTGAGTCCTACCAAAAGCCAAATACTGGCTTAGGAGAAATCTGAGCTCTTTTCAATATACAAGTTTTTAAATATTTAACTATAGGAGGAAAAAAGGCAGCATTAACTTAATTTACTGCTACAAGAATAAAAAGTTATTATTTTGCACTTATACATAGTTACAACCTTATAGCCTCTTATGCAAAGTAACACAAATTTTAAATCTAAAGCTAAATTCTGACTACTGTAAATCCATACTAACTAGTACGCGTTACACCAGTACACAAAACAACACAATGCCTTTCATTATCTACTCACTGCAAAACAGTGCACAAAGTTTAGAAGATTACTCCGTTGTATTTCTATTCATTTTTCCTGTTATTAGATCAACAAAACGAGGGATAAATCCTAGAAGACATGCATCACAGTCTTCTAAATACCCGAAAGGTATTTAGACTTTCAAGTTTTAATGTTAGCCTGATTTTATCCACATTAACAAAATGAAGAAAATCCATTCTAAGCAGTTAACAGTATAATTTCGGGAAAAATACATCTGAAAAAAAGAGTACAAATGGCTAAAAACTGCTAAGGGCCTTCTCTCCCCCCAGTGCTCTTTCAGGCAAAACTTCCTATGTGTATTCCAAGATCTGGCTCCACAGTAACAGGCAATATATCATAACCTCGTAGGCAGCATTGCAGTGGTAAAGTTTAACTTCCCATGCACTTAACTTGAAAAGTGCATAAACACTTCAACAAGAATAGCTCATTTAAAATGAATTTTTATCTTCAATAATTCCTGCTCTTACCCTTATATTTAGCGAGTAAGAAACCACAGTTTTACGAACATGTTAAGTTCTATGAGATGTTAACATTGTCTGTGTACTCTCTTAAATCTCCCCGGGAAAAATTAAATAAACCATTTTTATTCTATTTTCACCACTCCAGTAACATAAAAACAGAATATGCATTCAAACATAACTGATTCTTCTGAAAATACCTACTTCAGCATATTGCTGACAGTATAAGTGGTTGTGTGGATTAGTCATCATAAGCTCCTCTAAGCAGAAGGCTGCCTTTGCATAGCTGGGGAACATAAAAACAAAAGTGACAAAATGAAAGAGTATACAGTTTTTTGCTTCAGTGTCTTTACAACATAACAAACAAAGCCACACTTTTCCCCCCATTACTTCACATGATTCATAATTAAGGAAAATGTTTTCTTTTTAAATGACGTTTGAAACCTCAAGTTACTATTTCTAAATCATGATGAAAAATACACAAAATTTAATAGTCTATGTACACATGGTACAGCTCATGGAAAACATTTAATAAACTCATTTCTTATTAATAAGTGCTATTTCTTATCAAGAAGAGTGATGAGTAGAAACAGGCATTTGCTACTAAAAGACACTGAATTCGGAATACAAAACAGTTCGTTTTTTCCTACATGAAAATTCAGCTCCTTAAGAATTCACAAACTAAGCTACAGACCACACAACTGAGATCAAGAAAACATATTAAGAACAGTTTGAAAATTGAACTGTTCAAATCTATATGCGAAGATAGCATCATACTAGTCCAAACAGGCAGCACCTTACCATTAGAAAAGGCTAACACTTGTTCTTTAAATGAATGGTTTCAGAGAGAATTAAGAAGTCAGGCTCAAAATGTAGGTTGGTTTAATTACAGAAATCTTAGCTTCATAATCTTCCAACAGAGCTTCCTGAAGAATTTGCATCTTCTACAGACATGTGATAGCACTGTTGCACAGAGTTTACATGATAGAATTCCACAACTCAGAGATGCAGTGTTTATAGAGAGTGTGGATAGATATTTAATATCGGACTAAAAGCAATTTAGCAATTATGAGACAATACTAAACCATATGGATATCTAAATTCTAGATTATTCCTTAAGTCAGCATTTGAAAGAGTTTAGTAATTATTTTCTTTGAGAATGGGGTGGAAGGAGGGGTGATGGGGGAAGAACATTTTTGTCACAGTGAGAATGACTATTTCTTCCTTGAGAATCTGATTCTTTTACTACTCTCTGGAAAGGAAGGAAGGAAACAATGTGATATAATTCAGGCTGGGCTGAAGAACTAAAGAAAGAGGGGAAAAAAGATACGCCTTTGGGTGGAGGTTAGAATTAATGCTGTGGTATTAGAAAACTTGCACTAAGGCTTTGAGCTAATCCTCTCACACTGGGATTTCCTCCTGTCACTACAGCAATAAGAAAAAGCTAACAAAACCATTAAATATCCAATAAGCAAGTTACTACAACATGCAGCATTCTTGACTGCATTGGGTTTTGTACCCAGGCGACCTGATGCCTGTAACTCTGGATCCATGTTTTGTTTTGTTGGGTTTTTTTTAAGGTTATTTAAAAGTTCTTACAGAGGTAAGCTACCAGAAAATCAGAGTATTAGTTGTTACTGATCAACTAATTTTAGAAGGAAAGAATTTAAGACCTATAACTAGTAAAAAAGTCACTTGAATGAAAAATTATGGGGAACAAAGGTGCCGTTCCCTGCTACATTCAGACCACTTCTTTTAAAGCATCAAATTTTAAAAAAAATGACTGAAACAGGTAATTAAATAAACTCTTTCTGTTTTAAAATCAAATACCTTCTTAAAGCATTTGGTAGTCAAATAGGATTAGTAGTTATTTCCTGTTGATGCTTGTTATATTGGAAATGAGACAGCATACTTTCTAACCGTAGCCCTTCGGAAAAAAAAAAATCACTGAGGTCTTTGACTTACACAGAGAAAGTTTCAATTTAACAGTTTTTATGTGGACTTAGCAAACAACTTACTCATGTTCATTGATGTAAAGTTCTGCAAGTTCATGCCAAGCTTCTTGGTCTCCAACAAATCTGTAAAGACATGAGAGGAAAAAAGAAAAAAAAAGAAAGAATGTGCAAGGCATTCTGTAAGAGACCAGCAAGGAAGCAAAAGCGTAAATCAAATGCAAATTCCATTTTAATTAAAAAGATTTATTAGAATAGCAAAACACAATCTGTATTCTTGTAAGACACTCACTGTTCCAGATACTCATTCAGCTCTCGGATGGCCTCAAGATTTTTCCCCTGGGCTTTTCGAATGGCAATCTTACGCTTTCTTGCTGCCTATGGGTTGACATTAATAAAGGATTAGGGTCTCATAATTCCCTGGGTTTTTGTAAAGAAAGCAATTTGACTGTGCAAATTATTATCTCAATACCAGTGGAATTCCACTGCAGAGCAACTGCTAGGTTGAAGTTTATAAACATACCCTGTGACATCCCACTGAGAGACTGAAAACCTCTTCTTACAATCACATTATGTGTGCTTTTCTTTGGAAGCACAAACAGTATGCATTATTTCATTCAAATAAACGACTGTCCAGATTCTGGTAATTACAAAACAGTGGGAGATGTTAATCTTCAGCCATTCCAAAGACCCCCACTTTGTCATTCACAAGATCCATGACTAGAGGAGAGATGGGGACTGAGTCTTAGAGAATCCCACAGATGCATCTTGGTTGCCACTGTATGAATGCGGCTTTCAGCCATTTTTAAAGATTCTTGTTGATGCACTGAATGCCATCTTTAATTAATGTTAAACACACACCAATTTCATAAACAAGTCTCTCAACATTCCCAGAGCACAAAATAGGCTCTTCAGTGCAAAGGGAATAGAAAATTGCTATTTCAATGACAAAACTGAGCAGTACTTTGATATGTAGATGGAAAATGTATTTCAACACAAATAATATAAAAACAAGTTATAAGAAGTAAAATGTATTTAAATTTTGAACTCTGTAAAGGTTATTTCAGATCACCAGGAGAAAATATACAGAGAATTTTAATAGTTGATGACTCTGTACTTCAATCCAAGATTCAAGTTTCTGTCTTATGTTGGTTACAGTTTTCAAAACTCTAAGAGTGGTGAATCAAGATACACTTCAGATGTAATTCAAAACAACAGACATCTGCCCAGCACTCTGACAGAGTTTGGAGCAAACAGCACTACACCTCAGTCAGCCTGAAAGTCATCAGATTGAGAATCTGGCAGAATGAAAGTGAAACCAAATTCCAGCATAACAAAGTTGGCCTCAAAGAGTCAACACCATCAGCCTATAACCCCTGTTATACCCTCCTGGGTGATCACAACTGCAGTCAGACACGAGAAGACAGATGGTCTGGTGTGCGTGATGTGTCTGAGTGTACACACACACACACACAGATGTCATTTCTTCATGAGATAATATTAATGAGGGGAAAAAAAAAACGCTCTAAAAGTAATGAAGTCCCATTGCTCATGCCCCTGCTTGCTCTCATGTCATTTCATATCTTATAAAGAGGTATACAGTTGGGTATCACCTTATGGAAGCCTTGACAGTGCAGGAACAGACAACTCCTCAACAAAACCTTAAACAATTGTAATCTTTGACTTTAACAGCTCTGGAATTTGTTTCTTCGTGATGTACCTTCCTAATATCACAGTCACATACACCCCCGAAGAGTTCCTATATTTTTACAGTATTTTAAACATAACTATTCTTTTCATTAATTTCTTATCCTTTGATCATCACTTGAACAAATTAATTGGTTCTGGAAGAAGAGTGCAGCATTTAAACAAACTAGTTCAAGCTACCAAAATAACACAGCTAGAAACACTATTAACACTAACTGTAAGTTTATTCTTCCCTTTGAGATCATCCTCTTCACTTAACTCAGAACCGTATATTTGATTAAAATTCAGTGAAAATTACTCAAGAGTGGAAAAAGCATTCCACTCTCCTGCTTAAATGCAAGACACAGGCAGAGAAAACTCATCAGAACAATCAGAAGACAAATTAGGACACAGGCAGCTGGGGGGTTCACCCACAGTCATTTTGTTTTCCACTGCTGCTTTGTCAAACTTCAACCTGTGAAGTTACATTCATCATTCTACTTTTACTGGGAGACATTTGGCTAAAAGCCATAACTGACTCTGGAAATTTTAGCTGCTGACCACATTTATCACTATAACAATAACACACACTGTTTATAAAGATAACAGCATAATTAAACTTTTTAAAAAATATAAGAAGAATAATCCCACATGCTTATCACACTGCTACCATCACTGAACAAAAATACAAAACAAAAAAACCCAACCAAAGCCATTGCTCGTCATCACATTTTAAGAAGAGGTCTCAAAGCATTTCGTAAAGGAGGTCCACACGCTTATGGTGGTAACACCAGGTCAGCGTTAAACTCACTACCCAAGGTTGGTATTATACACAGCCCAGTGACCTGCCCACTGAGTCCAAAACATGAAAGAAGGGAAAGTGGAGATAACGGCATGAACAGCCAAAGGAGCGTCTCATGCAACTATGGCTTACAACGACAGAAGGGTTTTTGCAGGTAACAGACTATCTACTATAAAATTTAGCTTTAGGATTAAAAATTCAGTGGTAATTCTTAAAATATAAAGAAAAAAAAACAATGTAGAGACTGATCAAAACTGAACTGCTAGAGAACTGAAATCATCTGTTTCATATATAAAATCTATCAATGTATATGACATCTTAATTTGCAATAGCAAGCAGGAACAGTGTACGTAAACCACCCTCCTTTTCTGTTTCTGATGCAACTCCTTCAATTGTATGCAAGTCAGTTCTCCAAGAGAGTCTGGAAACACATTTTCTCTATGGCTGCTTTATGTCTTAACCACAACACTCCCAAGTAACATAAATCACTGGAACCTCAAGATAAATTTATTTATGAAAAGCTGCAACTAGTTCTAGTCACAAACATAAACTGATGTTTACCTATAGTAAGCATGTCACTTAATGCAATCAAATAATGAGGATAAAAGGATTAGACATAATTAACATGTTCATGTTAAATGAATTACATGTACATTTGACAGAATTTATCTGCTTCTAAACTACATAAAATCCCACAACATTGCTGCAAAATTACATTTTTTGTTTCTTATTTGAGGAAAAATAGTATTTAAAACTTTTTTATCCACCTTATCACCAAAAAAAAAAAAAAAAAGGCTTGAAATCTGCACTCTCATCACCCTCAAATAAACCTGCAAAACTGATGGCATAAGTTTATTTACAGAGAACTCTCAGTTGACTATAAAGAGGCTCATCCACTCAGAACAGTGCTGACATCCATGTACAGTAGCATAGAGTTTGTGAAAATCTCTTTAAAACGACTGGGAAGAAGTCAGTGAGGATGTAGGGGGGATTTTTAAAGCAATCACTAACATTTTTCCATCACATACATAAAACTGTAACACAAATATTCTGAATGCACTGCTGAGAGACATACAGATAGGTGTTCAGTAGATCTGGGATACCAAGGTGTAATAACACAGGCTAAAAATAAAGACATGAAAAACAAACTACTATTGCTTTTACCTGTATTCAGACTACTGTCCCATCTGACTTTCTAGTTTATCTTTGAATCATACAAACTATCAGTATTTTTAAATAAAAACTGAAATTCTATGACTCCAGTAGTCAATACTTTAACAAAACCCTATGAAAAGGTCTAAAACCTAGTGCACTGAAACCAAGACACAGGCCATTTTGTGTGCTGCAAACTTCTAATTCTTGTTCTGATTTATATCTTTCCTGAGCCCCTCTCTGGCTGCCTGTGTGTATCTGCTTCCTCCTCAGTGAGCTGCAGCTTGCACTCAGTATGCTTGCTGAGGACAGCAGCATAGCTAATGAACATTTACACACATAGCATCAAGTTTTCTTTATTTCCGTCAAATTAAACAAAATGTTTTACTGCGCAGAACCACTGCCAACACTAACAACCACTTTAGCAGACAAAAAATAGTTATTTGATAAGGAAAGCCAGATGCCCACCAATTCTACAGAAACTTTACCTAGCATTTATATCATATATCCAATTTATTACCAGCCTTAGTATCAGCTGATACAAGAAAACCAGACAATTTCACATCTTCTTAGGTTTCAGGCCCTTTTTAATACAGATCTAACATTTCAAAATATAAGCTCACTTTTAGGGGACCTATTGCAAGATACTACACAACTGCAAAATGCAGAGTACCAATCTGTTCAATCATTCATTTAAAGTCCCATAAGAATATTAGTAAGAAACTTACTTTTGTAACTACAAGATTTGAGATTATTTGAAAATCTACAAAGCATTCTAAGATAGTTGTAACAATTCTATTAATAAAGATAAAAAAAATAACCTTCAAGAATTCCATTGTGGGTCTTTACATCACAGCAAGATTTTTAAGAATAAGCCTAACATAAAAATGAACTCAAGCTCCTTTCTCCTTCCACCTTAAATCAAAAGACAAAACTTTCAGTGCTGCAACAAGATCTGCAGTATTTGACCATGCAGAACCTATGACATGGAATTCCCCCTATTAGTTTTTCAGAGTTTAAAACAAAACACTAGATTCTGTAAATCCAGCATTCTTAACTGAAACATATATGCCACCTTATACTACTTCTACCACAATCAGTATCGTATCGACTAGGGTACTTTAGTGTGTCACATATTTTTTAAACAGAGAACCTTTCTAAGCTATTTCTTTTAAAGACTAATAATCCCCAATCTGGCCCAAGAACTAATCCTCCATTTGTCATGATTCTTTTTAATTAGCATTAAGTAGACTCAGAGTGAAGTGAGAAGTTGAACATTTATCAACTTCTGCATTTGATTAGTTAAATACACAAACAGAGAGTCTAAGATTGTTCTAAATTTCATGCTCGCAAAGTATTAGCAGGACAATTTTCAGGGACTGACACGTCTAAGAAAGGAACAATTTCATACCTGTGTAGCTGCTGCAGCATTAAACAAATTATATTTTGCATCTTAAAATTAAATTCTTCAATTTTCTATATTTTTAAATATTAAGGACTTCACATTTTAGAAAACATGTTTTTGATCTAAGGGTTTGATACACCAAAATAATTTCCTCCAAACTGCAGTATGCAAATCAAAACAAAACCGTAACAACAAAGATAAAGGGAAGGAATTACAGACATCAAAAAATACCACATAATCTGACTACAACCACAATAACAAATCAGATTTAAATGTTCTTTTAACATTAGTCATGGAAGACAGATCAGGCCAAATCCTGCAAATGGATCTATGCAGGCACAGAGCTGCTGAGTTGAAACTGCTTGTTTAGGGATAATATCAAAGTACCCATGAATAAATTATGAAACCTCATTTCTGACTGATGCAGACACACGCACACCAAACTTACACAAGTTCAAAAAGCAGTAAAAAACAAACAAAAAAAAAGATAAATGGCGAATGACATTCTAAATGTCAAAAGAAGAAAACATTTCTACATGGGTAGCACATCCTCAGCTCAACCGCTGGTCCTTCTTGAAGACTATCTGAAGCAGCAGCTGCAGCTCTTCACACTTCTCACCAACTCCACCCTGCATCAGACACATCACCAAACTATCTTATTTGACTCCCTTTAAAACTACCACTATATGTATGTAAGTTTAGGACTTGTGTCTTTCCTGGCAGTGCTAGCAATATATTTAATGAAACTTACGCATGACACCTCAGACAATTTCCACAGTAGATACTTCATTTTGTAAGCAGTTTTCTTTTTTGTAACTTAAAGTCCTGTAGATAAATGTACAAAGCTGCAAGAACTTTATAGGAGGTCTCTGTTCAAAATGGATGCACACCTACTGCAGGAATTTTAAAGAATTGTCACTGTTCTAACATGTCTTCAACCACCTCCTGTACTTCTTCTGAAAAATGTCCAGCTTGGCTAGAAAAGGAATCTCAAAATAGTATCAGAAAGTGTAACTTCATGTGACCATATGCATGTACTTGTTCCTGCCCACTCCCATGAACAACTGAGTTAAGTGTTTCACACAGCCTGAAAGACAACAGCTTCACCCAGAGCACTATCTTGTTCTGAAAAGTCTAATTCTTAATGCTCCGTTCACACAATTGTATTACTAGACCCATGAAGTTAATGAGATTATCCACATGCCCCAAGCTAAGCAAGCATATACAGTGTCTTCTTGTATTAAAAGCTTAGCTGAAAATGCAGCAAGAAAAACAGCAGAAGAATTATCCCGGTAAAGACATCGGATTTTCCATGGATTAGAATTAAGGCAGAACTTTGTGCCTTATTTCACTTTCCCTTGGTGCTGACCAAGTACTCTGCAATCTTCTTGCTGGTTAGTTGAAGAACCAGGAGAAATTGCAGATGCATTAGGATGACAGTAGAGTGGATTAGACACCAACCTAAGTCTTGAACACATGAACTCAATCTCCTTTTTCATCATCAATCTTCTTTGCACTCCTGGACAGGACACCTTGAGAAGGGCCTGACTGACAAAGTATATAGCTATCAAATTAAAAAGCTTCCTCCAAAGCAAAGCAGGATGAGGACTTCTCAATTAAATACATTAACACCAAAAAACCCCCAAACCCTACAACCCAAAAGTCCTTTCTACCAATCCTGCTTAGAAACCAATGCCTCCCATATTTTGTTCTGAGAAACAGACTAAGCATTTTATCTGAAGATCTACAAACAACTCAGCTACTGTTCAGCTTCAGTATAAAGATTTTCAATTGACACTACATTAAATTTTAATTAATTTAAAAAGGCCCTACAATGGAAGATGATATGCAGCTTTAATAGCAGAGTAATCTGCCAACTACAGCTCTAATAAGCCTTCATTTTCAACCAAAATGGATAAGAATGGAAAATGTTCCCATTATTATCCTACTGAAATACACACTAGTTGTGCTTTTCACAGCAGTCACATTTCATTCATTAATGTTAAACTCTTTAGAGAAGGGACAGACTCTTTACTCAATGTCTATATGCTTTGAAAAATGAAACACGATCTCTGAAGTGACAACATTAATGTTGCTCCACTGTCAAATGAGTCATCTCTTTCAGCAGGTAAGTTCAGAGTGAGATAAAACATGGAGACATGGTCATCTTTTAAAAACAAAGATACTTCGAATTCTATTCTAAGAAATTAAATAATTACTGCTATCTCAATTTCAGCATTTTGCATGCAACAAAATCTCATCCAGAAGTGTAAATGTCCATTAGATAAATTGACTTCAAGTTTACTTTTCGTAATGGAAAAGTCTGCAAGGTGGATAAAATAAATACTGTTTTGAAAAAGCTTTTTTCATGATTCTGTTTGAATCTGTCAGTCGATGCAAAGTACCATTTCTACATGATTCGCGTGAAGAAATGTCTGTGTTTCACTTACAGCACTTGCCAAAACATTTAATGTATGTAAGCAACTCCATGTGTCAGCAGACCAGAAGAAATTGCTATAAGGTAAGGTGAGTGCCAAGACAAACTCAGCAACAGTTTCTTTTTAAAAATCTTGAAATACTTATTTTCCTACAGCAGCCACATGTGTGCATGGAAACAATTAACAGGTAAAAGACACAAAGACATCTGCACATGACAATTTATCAGAACTTTCTACTTAACTTGTATTCTTCACATGCAAGGCTTAGCCAACCTATTCTATAGTTACATAGCAGGAAACCTTTGCTTTGCATTTAACACTCTCCACTTCTATTCTCACATCTTAAGAAATCCAACAGATCATGCAGCTGGTCTAATATTTACATCTTATGCTTCTAAATATTACCATTTTACGGATCTTTATGATTTTGCTAAGGAGGAAATCCAAATTAAGTAACAGGCGTGCTTGTTACTTATTTAAATATATAATTTTGTTTTATTAAACCATCCAACAAACTGTTCAGATGACGACAGCCATGTTGAGACAGCTGAAGAGTAAAGCTGCCAAAAACGCACACTTCAAAGATGTGTGGCCCACAGAACTCACTGTAACATGGTGCTCCATTTTCCACTGGCTTCAGCAGAAAGTCATAAAACGTGCACCCAGGTGACCTGTTCTTGTGGCTTCACTTAAAGAGGGCTCCACCTAGCTTAAACACGACTCCGAAGACTTAATGCCTCTGAAACTCTCTGGGGCCTACGCTAATAAAATCCACCAACATTTACTGCAGACAACTATGCACCTTGCGCTCAAACATCCACTCAAAACCCACACTTTCAAAGGACAATTGCAGATCTCCTACATTTGTCACACAGAACACAGTTTTGTAGTTCTGCTCTAGGGAACGCGAAAAACACGAGTGAAGAATTGAAATTTTTCTTTTTACCCTTGCACAAAAAACGTGAGTTCTATCACTGCTAAAAAACAGAGTTTTATCTACCACGGTCATCCAAGTCCTTAACTTGGTATTAATGTTTTCAGATGTGTTGCTTTGAAAATAGTTTTCTGGTTTGTTGGGTTTGGGTGTCTTTTTGTTGGTGGTGGGGTTTGTTTTGGTTTGTTTTAAATTTGTTTTCTGGTGGTTCACTTCAGTTTAAGTGATAGTACTTCATCTACATCCATCTCTGGCCCATCCTACTTAACCCCAGTTATGCGTGTTTCTATGGGTTTTCCCCTCCTGAATAGCAGACCACGCTAATAAGCTGACTGAAGAAAGGCAGAGGATCAAAACACAGCAAGGAAGGTTTGCATGAGACTGCCAAAACATCTGCAATAAGCCCAAGTACTACATTTACATAGAATTTTACCCAATAAAGAGAACCAGTTCCTTGAAACCAAGTAACACAAACACATACCTTCCAGCAGACAACGATTAATAATAACTGACTGCAACATGTGATATAAAAATTTGAAACTTCATAGCTTCTTCATATTTCTAGTTTTAACCTTGTGGCACAAAATGCATGAAAACATATTGCTACAAGTTTCCCTAGACTTTCATTTTTGGCGTCTAATAGCTCAAGGTGATTTATACAACCAGTGTTCACAAACTGCTTAAAAGAAAAGAACAGCCTGTCTCAGATTTTGTTTTATATGATTGGCAAGCCTTATAGCATTTTGATTCAAAAGCTAGTAAAGCATCCCAGGCAATAAATCAAAATAACTGCTATTCAAGCGCTACCCAAGTGTGTTCATACTTAATCTTTAAACTAGATTAAGCATTAGGAAGACAGAAGACGCACAGCAGACTGTGTTAGTCCTTTAAATACTTAATATTTAGTGAAAAAGTAAAAGCTGTGAGGCCCAATCTAAACGCTACTAAGGCTGCACGGAAGTTTGCTAGTTATAATCCCACTTTCTAAACTCAGTGTTTAAGCACTTTAAGCGCCTTCTCATCATGAAACACATCTCATTTGTTCTCATGAAGGTAATACATGTTATTATATTAGGAAACAAATACAGTAATAGAGGCCCACGTTTTCCCACAGAGAAACCCAGAAAATGTAATCTCAATTTCAAACAACACACCACTGCAGTTCAGAAAAATATTTTCAACTTACTGTGTTAGTTGAATCTTCTTGTAAAATTCTATCATATAACTGGATAGCATCATCGTACCTGTTCAAAGAAATCACTGGCATTTACTTCTGCTAAGACAGAACTCCTGAGTTTTTGACTGTCCTTGAAATACTTAATAATCCCTCTGCAACTTTTAATAATGAATATATTTAAGCAAACTATACTCCTACAAAATTCTCCCGAGTGCTAAATATTAACAGCAGTATTTTATGTCATTGAGCTAAAAACAAGAAGTACATGGTAATCGCTCCATGGAACACTGTTTCAGCAGCAACTTACATATCTCACACCCAGTACCATACTCTCCTGTCTCTTCCCTCTTTTTCTCTTGGAAATAGGTCCAATTATCACATCCCAATTTGCCTTTTCACTCTTCCCAAGAAAGAGAACCCCCAAAATATGAAAGGGCATCCAAAATAATGATTTTTTACTTCACTGTTGTAATTCAAACTTCATGTAAATTTCTTCTATTATGATTTTATAAAATATAAACAGCCACATACAGTAAACTGGGGGATTCACACAAGAGCTCAACCCTCAACTATACCATAAATCTTGAAAGAAAATGTTCTCCACCATCACTACATAGGTTTTATTAATTAATTCTGCTATTTGAAGTATGCACAAAACAGGTTACTCTACCTGCTATAAATGCTTTAAACCTTCTGGGAAACATATCTATGTGTTCAGCCAGCTGTGTACATGATCCAAACAATTCAATTTAAAACACATTTGACTACACAGCTGTTGTGCTATTACCACATAACTAAGGCATATCTTGTGTCTTCATGTACAGTTTGACAAGTAGTTTTTCAGAGGTACTGCTGATTGATTTTGATGCTACACATCCTGTACTCACCTTGGACACCATTTATGTACTCTCACTGCTCCCTAAGCATTGCCGACATTAGAATAGGTCAGCTGTCTAGTACAGTTACCATAAGGTATGAGAACAAATGAGAAAGGAAGCACAAAAGCAGAAATGAGTAGAAGGTGACTGCTATAGACTTAGAAGACGTGCTGTAAAATGCTGTATTCATGTTCTCTGTAAGTTCCTAGTTTATCAAATATATTTTACAAGACTGAACAGGATGGCCATAATCCCAGCTTTACAGGTGAATTTCCAGAAAAGTATTCTTTTGATTAGCAAGTATCTACAGAGATGTATCAGTCTACAGGAATATCCTTCGCTATTTCCTGTTTCTGCTGGGGAAAGCGAGATCCTCCTAGATCCGAGAAGTCACTTAGAACTTAAGCAGCAGCTCAATTCTTCAATTGAAAATATGATTTCCTCCAGCCTAAGTCTCCCTAGGCATCATTTGTACTCAAGCGGAGAGAGACAGGCTTTTCCAGGGCATGGCTGAGAGCACCTGCAGAGGGGTTACTGTTCAAAACCACCTAGAGCTGGAGTCTCTATCATCTCTGACTTCTGGAGAAAATCTATGAAGATGAAACCTCAGGTTCCATTAATACCTCTGCTCTCCTGATGGTTACATCTCAAGGATGTAACCTGACAGAGACATTTAGCAAGAATTTTTATGAGCACTTTCAGAAAACTGTGGCTCAATAGCACTTCATTGCTGAAATAACACATAATGTTCTTGCAGCAGTCATCTCCCACAAAGATCTGTTCCCATGCGATAGTATCTTCAATGTAGTCACATAAGCCTGAACACAATTCTGATCTTCCGCACTTCTGAATAGGTTTTGGGAATGGAGGAAATCTGCTACCATTCTCTCACTGTCTTCCTACCCCATACCAAATGAAGACAGCAAAAGAGCTAAGTAAATGAAAATTCTTCACGAGTGTGTATTTGATAGGAAGTGAGCAAGAAATGTGGAACACCTAGTTGCCTTGAGACTACTTTAGAACAGAATGTTGATACCAGAAATGTATCCAAGGAGAAAGGCAGACAATACAGGTCAACCTCAAACCCTGCGGTCATTAATTTTGGAAAGCTGTACAGTTTTAAGCTGTTCATTATTTTAATAATTCCTGTTAAACTTAGAATGTTATAACAGGATACTTCTAAATGGTCAGTTTAATTTTTAGGTTCTTCCATCCTATTTTGTATGGGGTTTGAGTTGTTTCTATAATAAACTCTACAGATTTAACCTCTACTAAGTTCTACTGGATTTATCCACGCTCAGAAAACAAGTGAAGAGCTACATCCTGCAATGATTTAGGAGCACAATGAAGGCAAAAAACCATTGGCACTGATTTTCATATGCTGCTCTAGCTCTGTGAGGTGAAACGTATACCTCTTGGACTTTGCCAGAAAAGTGTCTACTGTTGTACTGTATAATGACTTATACTGTCGAGTAAGAGATCTTTTTAATCTATGAAGTCTGATGGGAAGATGGCAAAAAAGTAACACTGCGCTGTACATGCACGAGTGCAATAAAAATGTCTAAACACTATAGTATGATCATGCACACCACTGTTTTCTATAAAGAAACTGCCCAGCCTGGATTTGCCATGTTTTCATAGTGCCTGAATGCCTTTTTAAGAAATAGCAAGCACCTTTCCAAACAGAAAGCACATTTTTTTCAATTCAGGTTTTACCTTTCCATAGCTTCGAATCGCATTCCAGTTAATCGCTTAACTCTGTGGCTCCCAGGAAACTGCCGCCTTAGCTCCTGAAGACAAAACTGTACAAATAAAACCCAAGATACTATTGTGAATACAATTATCTACACAGAAGCTGGAAGAAAAAAATAAGAAGTCCTTGGCTGATAATTTAACAACCTGAAATGGCATTTCTGAGTAAAAGCAAATACCAATTTTTGAAATAATCACTAAAATGTGTTGATAAAAAGAAGCTAAATCTAAGAAATATTGTCCGTACAGGTTAGATCATCAGGCTTTCTTAGATATAGTTATTTGTCTAGAAAATTAAACTCACGTACTAAACCAGTTCTGATACTGTTAAAACCTGTAGTCTACTTAGTTCCCTCATAATTACAGAAGACAGTAAAAAAACAAAACAAAGATAGTAAGAGCTTATGTGGTACTTCTTTAATAAATGGGTATCTCACAATGGAACAAACTATGCTAATACTATGCTATGTGTTTATTTTTAAAATAAAACTTTGAAATCCAAAGAAAATGTTTGTCACTGGCTTGGGTTAAGCCTGCTGGCAGAAACGACATAGCTTCTAACTCCAGGAATCAGTGAGACACCTGGGCTGGATAAAAAGAATTCATCACAGGCAGATTTCTCTGGATTAGCAAAAAAGGGATTGAGTCACAACTTTCCCAGAGCAAACCAACGATATCATGAACGTGGCTAGACAGCATTGCAGAGTCTGTAGCTGACAGATTCATTATAGTGGGAAGCAGGACAGTCCCCAGGCTCCCTAAAAGACCAGTAGTTAGAATCACATTAAAAGCTTCACACAGAAACCTCCTGTTCAGCATTTAGTTATGCAACTCAGCTTACAAACTTGTTTTTCAGACCTAAGGTTCCAGCAGAGGCCTATCTACATCATCTGTTCCATTTTATCAAATCCACTCGTCAAAGGAAAAATACAGAAGCAAATCAGTAAGAATTAGTAGGTTCCCTGTTTCTGTAGATAAACAGGTTGCTAGAGTACAGCAAAGACTGTCACATCTCTCTCAGATCCAAGAAAATGGAGAAGGAAGAAAGAAGGGAAACAGCAATCAAGGAAACAATGCCTAGCCTCAGAGTAAGCACAGACCATTTTTACCATGATCATCTTAACTTGCAATGAATCAAGATTTTTACAATGCAGTTTCACACAGCAAGGCCCAGGTTTAATACAGAAACAGTTTACTGGCACTGAGTAATGTCTAGGTGAACTGCTGCTGCACTGGACAACAAACTGTCATAAAAAACTACATGTACTTAGTAGCAGCATGTTACAGATAGCTGAACTGACCTGTGAACATTCTTAAGAGATGGGAAATCTTATCTCAAACTCCAGGAAAGTAATTTCATTCCAGCTTTTACAATCCAAAAACCTTCTAGATTTTAGAAAGAACTTACGCAGATAATAAATCCACTCTGTAGCCCAGTGACCCGGGAATCATGAATGACAGTGATCTCCAGCATAAAACCATGGACTTTTTTACTGCTTTTCTGCAGTAAATCTTTGAAATGTCAAAAATTGTAACATTTGCAATAGTACTAAGCTCCACAATCTGCAGATGGACTTTCACATCTAGAAAATCCCCACTGACAATATAAAAAAGCTGATGAAGTAGCACTCAAGTGCAGGAATACAAGACCAGAATTGTTCACATTAGATCCAACTATTCATTATTCAACCAAACACAGCAGCCACAAGGCCAAAATAAACTCCTGTAGATTAGGACATCAGTCACAAAAAGTGACAGGAAAAGCTGTGAGACAGTCAAAACCAACTCATTGTTAACATCTTTGAAAACAAAAATGCATGAATAAACCACACTAGCTGTATCTTCAAAATGTTTTGGACTCAGCAGCACTGAATGCCCCCTTTTCAAATTTAACTTGTAATCCCTATAATCATGTATGTTATTGAGGACTTATTCTGCACTATGTCAATAATCTACTTTTGAGATTCTCTCAGAAACTCAGCAGTTACCATGGCAAATCTCATTTGCATGTGAAACTTCAATTTGTGGTTAATTTGCTTTCTGATTTATTTTTTTTTTTGATCACATCAGGTTTTAATTTTAAAGGTCTGACAAAGGCAAAGAAATATAAACCTGGACTTCAGTATGTGAAACACTGGCAGTGCAACTGCCTGCCAACAGTAGGTGACTGCACTAGACAGAACATGCATGTGGAAGAATGGGCTGGCTGCAGTAGGGGCACACATTATGCACAGTCACTTTATACAGGACAGAGAGGACAAAACTAATAAAAAAAAAGGAAAGGAAAAAAAAAGTCAGATAAATGACTCTGAAAACCACCTCAGCCTCCTCATTTGGAGCAGATGAGACCCATCCCCCTAAGCAAAATGCATCACAGCTGTCAAAAGCTCACTGCTAAAAAACAGAAGTTCCAAAGCTGTTCGTCTATTTTGAGGCCACAGCTGTAGCAAAAAGCCACATATGATGTTGACTTGTTTGAGTTAACTACTTATTATAAATCAATAAAATAAAATAAAAATAAAATAAAA